CTGCCTAACCCGAGCAAAAAAATTTGATGTAACATAATATTAATTTCATACTGAGGTCTGCAATACATAGACGCGGATATATATTCTAACTGCCCTAGATCTGAACTTCATACGGATTATGAAGATTTAAACTAAATGAAGCTTCTTGGCGCTTAAATTTTGAATGATATATGCGAGATGGCAGTTATTTCGCCTTCTAGTTTCCTTTATAAAAATTTCAACCAATTTCATAAGCAATTTACTTGCAATTCAAAAACGATTTCAAACATTACTCTTACCCAAGTACAGTACGCAGTTGGTGTTTGTCTTGTACTCTGACGCGAAGTCATCGAAACTAGTTTTGAGAACGTCCAAAGAACCGAGGCTGGTCAAACAGCGCTGTTGCGCGAGAACTAACTGGTAGCGTCAGAGTTCAAGATCGCAATCATACGATGGAATCACTAACACAGCGCTGCCAAGACGACCTGGTCCACAGTTCAATCTATCACGATCTAAGAACACTATATTCCCTTTGATTACCAATTTCGACCGTTCGTAAAATCCTGAAGGAAATCGCAGCGACCCCATAATGTATATATTATATATAATATCTTCTTCACCAGTGTTCAATTTGGAATCCGTGTAAGCTTATTCGGATGTTTGTTTGACCATCTGTTCATATAATTTCTATGGTGAGCTTTCTCTTGCCTGCAAAAATATATAAATATCAACGTATCAATGTCAAGGGACAACAAATTCCTCTTCCTGGAGGACAAAATGAACTTTGAAGTGTGGTTTATGGACTTAAAATGCCATTTGTGAACATGAAAATAGCATTGCGGTTATCCTCAAAGGAGAGCGCTATGAAACCGTGTGGATTCGTGCAATGAGTGGTTTCAACGAAACGGTCCAACATGTTATACATGATATGACACAATCAATCTATTAAGAGAAGTTTAACGATCTATATATATATGACTAATTTTCAAAATTGGATCTATATATACATATAACTACATTTGTTTCTTTTCTTTAAGATTATGTCAAGTCATTGGTTTATTTAAAACGCCGCCAACTATCATTGACCAAATTTTCCATGAGTTTTCATGTTATTGGTGAAATAGAGAGCAGACTCATGTGGAAAGGCCACGAAAAATTGATCTTTCAGAATTGAATTTTTACCGAAGTGCAGAGGCAGTCGCTTACATGGAATCCTCTAAAAGTGTCAAATTAATGTTTTTTATCGTTTTGTTCTTATATTCTCATACTCTTCTTCTATTATCCTACGTATAATAACTTTTATTGCTGCCACTAAAGTATTGAGTTACACTGGCAACTTGTTCATTATTAGCCGTACAAGTATACTTATGAGAACCACCCCTGTTAAGGGTTACAAATTCTTCGTTATTATCAGGCTGTGAGAAAGAAAAGAAAACCATTTTTTTTATAGCAGTGAGAGAGAAAATAATTCTCGTTTTTTACCTTTACAGTTTCATTGCGAGTTATCTATAAACCAAATGAAAATCATTGATATTGATGACTTACCTTCGGCCGATACAACGACAACGTGAGCTCAGCGTTTAAACTAATTAAAAATAAACAAAAAAAAAAAAAAAAAGAAGAAAAACTTAATCAAAAGATCGGTTATTATATAGTGTGGGTTTTCTCTCTGCGCTTTGGAAAATAAATACTTCAAGTTTCGTGCCCCACACATACTTTTTTGCATACCTAATCAAAACTGTGTGAGTATCTTTAGGTTTTGCAACATTCGCATGTACTCCCGCGATCAAGAAGTATAGTGAATTTATTTATAAAATTAATAATTTTTAATTACGCTCCACAGTCAATTTCATCGCCTTTAGACTACTTGTCGTCGCACGAAACGCGCGTATGTCGATTGGTTTTTTTTCTTTTTTTAATCTTTAAAAGGATCCAATGCTGGTCACGAACTCATGCTAGTTCTTGTTTGAACTTTTTGCACCACTTGCAAACATTCTTTTTTGTCATCATTTCTTCGCCAAGGGCCTTCTACACCACTGTGATTTGTTAGCCATATTTTCGGACAAATTCTTTCCTCGAAAATATATAAAAAACCCCTTTGTATGTTTACAAAAACCAGCGATTATATTGATATCAAACTACATAGATGGTAGAAAAAATATTATATACTGACAAAGATCTTCGTGTTCTTATCATGGAGATTTGCTCATGTAGGAGTAGAAGAAAATTTACTAAACCGGTGAAGAAAAATAATTTTATAATTTTGCATCATCTGCAAAATTGATATCAAAAATTTACTTTACTTACTTTTGGTCACGATAGTGAAGTGATTTTAAAAAAAGTAGAGAAATACACGATAAAAGCATTCTTCGCTATAGCGAGACGAAATTTTACACACATGCTTCTAATTCTTTGAGAATAGAATGTGAAATGTGAAGTTTTTTTCTGCTTTTCCTCCATTTTCTAAGCAAATTTGTAAGCAAAACTATAGACTTTAATTGGCAATTAAAGTCCATTCAAGAAGTTAAGGCAGAACTGAGAAAATGGACATAACTAGCAGATGGGGAATCCATTTTGCTTAAGCCTAATTAAATGACGTAACTTTAGCAGACGTTTTTCGCAATCGCACGCACAAGTAAAGAAAGCCACAAAGAATGCTCACTTTTCTCATATTGTATTTACAACCCTTAAAAATCGCCATAACCAATGCGTAGGCTATAGAGAGAAGTTTGGATATCTAAATTGGGTATATCGGGAGACATCGTTCCCTGAACTCTTCTTCGTTGCGAATACAGATCGAAGACGTAAAATGTGATAGGTTAAGTTAATAAAAAAAATTTGTGTCAAAATTCTGAGGGCAAATATGCTTCGGTTCATTAGATTCCGTTACCAGTTTTGAGAAGTTCGTGAATTAAACGATTCAGATCTTAAATTGGATCTGCATTTACATAATGATTGGTGAAAGCTTATCATGTACAGAACAAGTTTAGAGATTTTATGTTAAAATATATATAAGCCATGATGATGGGAGCCATCATATAATTTATTGTATAATTTCTTAAGTTTTCCGTTAATTCAAGAAACCTCTTTTCATTTGTGAATGCATTATGAAGCAAAGGAGTCTGTAGATATCAACAAATTCAAAATAGAAGACTGTATGCAAATCGATGATCCCCAAAACAGTCTATTCGGTCATTTTTGTTTCTCCCTTCTCCTCGTCCATTTTATCGAATATAAATGAGTTTTGAAAACATGAAAATTAACTAAAAATTAACATGTGACCCAACGTTTAACAAACAAGTTCAATCAATGATTTGATATACGTGTATAGCACGGGATATGCTTAATGTCGTATATTGATGGTAGAAAACGTAGTCAACAGCTTACACGCATGTTGAAACTCATGTGAATACGTTGCACTTAAAATGTTATAAAAGTTTACACAACAGTTCGCTCGCACGCCGCCCCCTGGTGAATGGCAATTTACGGCAGCAAATAAGATTTGAAAATTAAGTTCACGAAAAAACAAAAAATAAAGGGCGAATTATGAGATATATTACTATTCTATTACGTCAGTTATGCCATGAAATATACATAAGATCGAATCTAGAAGCTGGTATGTCTGGGGCGAAAAAATAATGCTCGAATAATCGATGCTTCAGCCAAGCAAGTTGATAAGTAACACAGATCAATTTTGAAAGTGGAGCGCACTCTACATATAAGCCTTTCTTCGATTTTCTTTTCTCTTCTCTTTTTTTTTTTCTTTATAACCGTTATCACGTTTCGAATTGAAAAACGTGATTCAGATATTTATTGAAATCGTATTAGGAAGCATGAATGTTTTCCTTTATTCGATAAACTCTAATACTTTTGTGTACTGACTATCCATAATTCGTATCGGTCCTGCTTGATGCTTTCACTCTTGTTTGTTGTTCTGATTTCGTGGAGGTTATGCAAAATTGCAACGACAACATTAACAACAACAACAACAACAATAACGACGGCAAAGACTACTCTTGTTGCATAAGTTTGTGTTCATTAGGGGACGCTGCTTACTTGACGATATCATTTGCTTCGGCCACGAGTATTTAAAGGCCAAACATATCGAAATATGTGTTAAAATGTGGACCAGAGCTGTTTTAAAATCCAATTAAAGGATCCCTGCTGAGGGCTTAAGTCGTTGCCATGACATTTACTACCCTGTGCTTTAACTTCTGTATTTTTTTTTTCTTTCTTTCTTTTTTTCGTAATTGCTATGTTACAAAGTGCTTTCACGGTTTGCGCTCAAGTTGTGACCACGCAAATACACACAGAGCACAAATGCAAAATACAATCAACGCATGCTTTATGTAACACTAGAATTAAAAATTTGATGCATTTTTATGTTTAAAATTTGTTTGGTATTTTACATTGGTCGAGCGAATCCTAAAAACAAAAAAAAAAAAAATAAATAAATAAATTACGTGATTCACAGATTATTGTTTAGAGTTATTATTATTAAGACATGCAATGTTTTTACTTTCTAATTAAATTTAATAAAAATAAAATAAAAATCGAGTTTAAAAGGACATCAATTAAATTATGTTAATAAAAATGATTGAGAACTAAGCTGGTCCAAAGAATGAAAGCGAATAAAAATAACAGATCCATTCTAAAAATAATCTGTACGTCAATCGCCTTAAACGAAAGAATGTAAAATTTAGAAAAGGGTTTTGTTTACTGCGAGCAAATTAGTCCACTAACTAGTGGCTAACTTCGCAAAAAACTGTCAAAGTCTTCGATCGGTTATCAACTTATTCCAAGTCCATACTATGGCTTGTGTATAATGTATTTGTTTCTGTGGTCAAGACAGTTCAGTTCAGTTTTTTTTTTTTTTATTTTTTTTATTTTTTTTTAATTTAAATTATCCCTGTAGTATTGCTGAAATACCACATTTCAAAAATTTGGTAAACAAAGTAATCTTAGAAAGCCGAACTTTAATTTGTTTACCCTGTTTGTAAGTCATTTTTATATAGATATCTAAAATATTTTGAGTTCCCTAGTTTGCGCGGGGGAGACCTCCAAGTCCTGCCATATCTTAATCCTAACTAATTGACAGAGCTCGGCGTACGGAGACAGAGAAAGAGAGGGAGAGTAGGCTCGTTAAGTTCGTATTTATCTTCATACCTTTTTCTCCTTATTACAGAACCAATGCATAAAAATTCACCTTAGTCCCACAACATTGCTCGCTTTTGTTTCTCCGATCAACGGATTCGTTCAACGGTTAAGGACCTTACAGACATGCTAGTTCCTTGTAATTGGCTTCAAAGCACTTTCTTCCACGATCTCTTGCATTTTTCGGACAGGGCAGGGTTCACGACGCACCGTATATATGAATTATATTATGTGATTGAAAAGTTGAAATATCGATAGGTAGTAGCCGATTAGATAAGAATCGAGACTACCATGTCTGTGTCCGGGAATTCAAATCTCAATGTGATAAAGTATACTTGACCGCCGCTCATGTGAGGGTTCGGTCGCGGCAGACATAACGCTTATCGAACGGTCACACGCCCACTTGCCTGCGAACACTTATCTCTATCTCTTTCTTTTTCATCGCATCTCTCTGTGACCATCACCGTGTTTCATATAAACAACTGCTTAGTTTTTTAACTTAGTATATAGTTCTTTATTGAAGCCCTCGAAGTAAAATTAAAAATGCAGATAGTCCTCCATAAGTAATAGCGGCATATTAGCGTCACTTAGCTCCAATGTGACATGCTGTAAAAGCATAACATATATCTATTTGATATAACATATACGAAATATAAAAAAGTTGACATCAAACACCGAAAGACCAGGACTACAACAAATCTCATAACACATGCTGGAAAGATCAATTAAATAACAATGGAAAGTAATAATATAAAAGGCCACGTATGGCTTATGAAGGGAATAAAGTTGTCACTGGGTACTTTAGACAAGGTCTTGCGGTCGTGATGGTCACTTTTAATTGATTTGGCTCCCCTCTTCTCACCTCTCTCCTCAAAATAGTTATATTTACTTGATACCGTGTCCGAGGCACTTTTTTCTATATTGCATCCGCCACTCAGGTGGATATTGTATTGCTATTATATACATTACGCCGTAAGGATCCGATCGTTCGCTTTCTAATTTCTAAATGGCTTAAAACTAATTGTAAGTCTTAGATCAATATAAACTACACGTTTATTTTTCTATCATCACGCCACACCCACCTCTATACCTAATTTTACATATACTTAATAAGTAGCCCTAGTCTGTAGCCATGCTCTTAAAAGATACGAGAAGGGTTTCATTAGGTTTTAGGTAAATGGAACTTCAAACCGTAGAATAGGCGAGCGAGGTGTGAGCTGCTTTATTCTGGCATATGGTATTGATATACCTACCAATTCCCCCACATTACATTATAAATATATATATATATTTTGTTTTTTTTTTTTTTTTATTGATTGTAGCTACGTGAGTTATTTGTATGCACGCATAAATAAGGAAATATTGAAATGTTAGGAAACGCGAACAATAATAATAATAATAATAATAATATAATTGTTAATAAAACATAAAAAATGCGTATAAATAGAAGTTTTCATTTGATTCGCATTTCGCATGTGGAGAATAATATAGAATACAAGTAAACGATAGGATTTCAATGTGCCGAAAGTAAGAAATGAAAACATAGAACCTGAGGTTTGTTGAAAGAACTCCCAATATGTTTAGAAAAACATCTTTTCCAACCATTTATTTAGTTTCTCCTGAGCGTAGCGGATTTTCTGATACAAATCCTTAGAGCAGCCGTGTTGTATAATGGTTGAGAACCGATATGTACGAAAATTTTTTTTTTGATCCATGTAAGTGACAGCACTCATACGTGGACATAAAATAATTTTCATATGATCTGAAAAGTTTAACTGAAAAAAAAGAGAAGAAAAAATATATTACAAGAAGAGAAAAAGCGAAGATCTGTTTGACTTGAGTCGAATTGTTCTGGGAAAACGAAAAATCAGAAATAAATTATGAATACTTATTCCACATGTTCATTCATTTAGAGTGAAAGTAAGTAAAGACTGTAGAAAATCACCATCAGTTCCACTTACCTGTACTGTGCCATTAGTTAAATGCATGACTACCGCACAAGTGGTACGAAACCATGAGTGTAAATGTGGCATACGCGAAATTTGATCAGTTTCAAGATTAACATTATTTGCTCCGGCCTCCGCTAAATGTTTTGTCATGTAACATTTAAAGTAAGACAACAATTTCATTTTCTTTTCCAAAGATTTGCAGTAGTCTGTCTTGGTCATATAAGTTTCTTCGCCATCCTTATCGATAAAGTGGACATTAATATCATTCGGCAATAGAATTAGCTTGGTTGCATCATTGAACATAACACCTATGCCCTCGTCGCATAATTGATAGCCAAAACCGTATTTGTCGCTGTAATCCAGCCACTTTGATATCCAAAACAATGGCTGAGCAGCAGGGTCCGTATTCTGATCAGTTAAATTTCCGGCTAACATGCGAGGTTTGGCTTCAGTGATCTTTGTTAATTGTTGACACAAGCATTCCATGTCACTGCGATAATCCTGATTATGCTGATAAACCTGCGCCGATGCAGTGATGGCATCGTGCAAGTTGTTTTTAAGAAAAGTCGACTCCAATCGTGTATCATCGCATCGTACACCGTTCACTTCAATTAGAGGATTTATTTGATTAGTCGCCTCATGTTCTAAAGTGTCCTTAATTTCGAGACGTGGGGCCATAGTCAGACATGAAGTAGGCAAAAACGTTGGAACCGGCGAAATAGTTAAAAATTCTGAATGTAGCAACTGGTCAATTGTAGGCCGATGGCTGGGATTTAATTGCAGCATTGACACTACCATGTCGGCAGCTGATTTACATAGATGACTGGGTACTCGGTAATCACATTTTTTAATTTTCAAGTAGGTATCATTAAGCGTTTTAGTTTCAAACGGAGGTTGACCCACTAATAGGGTGTACATAACGCACCCGATAGACCAGATATCCACTTCATACGAGTGTCCTTTTTTAGTCAAAATTTCCGGTGCTATATAATTTGGAGTACCGCATAAAGTTTGCTTCCGTTCGCCCTCATATTCAATACGCGTGGCCAAACCAAAATCACCAATCTTCACGTGGAGCATGTCGTTTAGAAGGAGATTACGTAATTTCAAATCGCGATGTATTATGCGGTTATCGTGCAAGTATTTAACACCCTGAATGATTTGATATATATAATAACGACATTCATATTCAGTTATGGTTTTCCGACGTTTGTGTAATTCCATCATAGATCTTTTCTTGCACAGTTCCAAAACGATATAAATGTTGTAATTGTCTTCGAAGAAACCGTGATATTTAATAATGTTAGGATGACTTACAGAACTGTGTATAGTAATTTCCTGGACCATTCTCTCTTTTTGCTTATGTTTCATTAAGAGCTTCTTTGAAACAATTTTACCAGCATACACTTCATTTGTCGCCACATCTACAATTTCATAACATTCTGCAAATGAACCCTTGCCGAAAAATGTCATGCGTTTATATGTTTTGCCGGCTGACGAATCATATAATCCTTCTGGTATTTCTGTCCCTTTACCATCAGTTTTCGAAGACATGGTTACGTGTTTTAAATTTACTCTTCTAACAAGAAATTAGAAAAAATGACAAATTTCA